TGTCAATGCCTTCAGCCAGGATTGGTCTCACCTGTTTCTTTATGTATACCCTCCCATCTGTTTACTTCATCGGGTGGTCTCCCTCACCCATGCCACTCCATACACAGTCCTTCTTATTGCTCCTTACTGGCCTGCTCAACCTTGCTTTCCTCAGTTGCTCCAACTGCAGGTGGTCCCTTCCCTTCTGTCCTGACCTGCTCCATAACCCCAGTCACTGGTGCTCCATCCTGCACCATCTATCCTCTGTCGTAACAACTGACTTTTTTCAGGTCCTTGGCAATGAGTTCTGGTTTCTCTCACAAAGTAGCTTCACATTTAGCCCATTCCATTTACTCTTCTTCTTTGGCCATGTATCAACGATGTTCCTTGTGAAGAGATACCTGGCTCAGATGCAGTGCAGTGCCCCTCCTCAGATCATCTGATCTGTCCTCTCATTTCAGGGGTGTCCTCAGGACACTTCCGTGGGATACACCTGTGCTTCCCTCAGATTGGTCCCTCCTCCATTTCAATGTAGGATTCAAGCTAATCTTGTTAGTGGAGGGAAGAGTACCTTATTGGAAGTTATAATTTTCTTGAATGAAAATGTATTTCCGATAGGTACTTCCCTTCGCTGATACTTCCCACCTGCCCTCCCCCCAATCTTCTGGTGCTTGCATCTTTTGCCAAACTTCTAAGTGGCAGTTTGGTAGTGGTGCATAGAGGGAGTAACATGCTTCACATGATAGTAATACTCTCCTATTGCTATTGGTGGAGAAGTGACGCATGATGATTTGCATGAGAGATGTGTTGCAACTTTAGATTCCAACAGAGGGAGGATGGAGGCTTGTGGCATGCATTTCTGAAAAAGTTCGCATATAGAGGGCAGCACAAAATGAGAAAAGCTAATCTTGTGAGTGGAGGGAGAGTACTTATTGGAAAACATTTTTATTTAAAAAAAATATAACTTTCGTGTTTTTGTGTATTACAATTGTATTTGCTAAATTTAATGCTTATTTGCCAAAATGTAATAATGAAAAGTGTTATGTTTTCTTATGTTGAAATGTTTTTCATGGTATTTCTCAAAAACAATTATCAAATTACATTGGAGTACAGGTAAACCATGCAAGTAACCATATTAGAAAAATTACCTTGACCACTTACAGTACTTAATATTAATTCTACAAAGGGTCATGGAAAATGATACTTCAAGGAATTTACCTGATAAAATATTTGTAAGCACTAATTTACTATAGCAAAGGAAAAGCCCGAATCCAACACACATGTAAAGCCTTTTACCCTTTAAAAACATCTAACATTTGGTATGATTATTTCAGTGACATTACTTTATCATAATTTTCTTTAATAAAAGTAAATGTAACTTCCTATATTTTTTATATTTGAAAATAAAAACTTTCTAATTTAATAGGTTGTGTAAGACTGGTTTGTTTTTTAAATTTTCTTTATTTAACAATTGAGGTTATACACATTTTTTCTTGTAATATTTCATTTTCTCTGAATTCACTATTTTCTTTGTTTTGCTTCATACATTTTTATGAGTTATCTTACCATTTGTATTACATAATTAGCAGCTAGCTCACTAACTATATAATTTACAATAACTTTATTGTTAAGGTATTTTTTGTTTTTATTTTAGAATCAACTTGAAAGGGCAACCAAAGATGCCAGTATAGCTGAAGAAAGACTAACTCAGTGTTCCAAAACTTTAGACCAGCTCAAAACTGGTATAAAAAACCTGTTCATTAAGACAGGCTGTAGTGATGCCACCTTAATGATCATTCTTGGTGGAAGTGAAGGTATAACAGATAACAACGTCATGCAGTATCTTTCAATTACCGAGGGCCGTGTGAGTGAACTACTGCTGCTGTTAAAGTTCCTGGAACTAAAGGTATGGGTGTGTAGTTAAAGTTAATAATTATTGTTTACATGTGCGAGTAGGCAGGAATATGATTATATCAAAGAGATAGGTAGATATAGACAGGATATATATTGAAAGACAGGCTTGTCTGACACGTGTGAATTGCATATAATGAGTTGTATGCAAAACTTACTACATAACTAGTAGAATATGGAAGATATGTAGGCAGTTTTCCTATTTTAAACATAAATTATTATACAGTTTGATGACTAAGACATACTTGGTATAAGACAAATTTATATGAACTGGTAGTTGATGTTATAAACAGTTTATATTTGTGTAATTCTTTTATAAGTTTGTATGAATATCATTTCAAAAGAAAGAAGAGGAAGAAGCAGAAAAAAATCCATTACCAAGTTCACAGTCAATCACAGCAACTAAATTGCCAGGAATTGTTCCATTATCTCCTAGTTGGTATCCTTCTCCTCCTCTTTTAGGGTAAGCATGTATTGCTATTCATAATAAATGGATATACTTTTTTACTAAAATACACAGTTCTTTAAATAATTATATTTTTTATTATTTTACTTTCCAAAACATACATACCTCCTCTCACACTACAGCTATTACTCGAATACCAGGTTTCTTCCTTTGCATATCTAAGCATTATTCTGTTTTTTTCTTGCTTGCTCCAGTCTTTTATACCCCACTCAATTGCAATTGGCAATATTTATCTCGTGACACTCTCTACCTATGTAAATATGCCCTCCATCCTGGTACTGTATATAAATACCTCATTCAGATAAGATTATCACTTTTTCTTAACAAAGCATTACTAACAAGTTTCCCAGTATTACGATCGATTGGAGATACTTTGAATGTTATTCTTGTTATCTAGTTGATTTTTATAAGAAGAAGAACAAGAATAATAATTTAATTTTTTTATATATTCTGATTAGCAAGCCACTTTTATGGTATGAATTCCCTGATTATTATTTCCAGTACAGAGGCAAGTCAGGTCTCTACTGTTCTACCTCTGATATCTAGCATTACACAACTATTGAGAGGCGGAGAGTCACTATTGGTTAAGACTGTTAGTGATCTCATTCTTAATGAGATGGAGACATATATTCAGTCCTTTGGTGTTTCTCTGGAGGGCTCTCAGGCTGTAATTGAGGGCAATCCTTGACATTCTGGAGAAAATTTATATTCACTTTTTCCTGCACCTTCTTTTAGTCTGTTGGCCTTACAGTCCACCTGCGGGACAGTGGTGGCCTATGGTGGAATGCCCAACATTGCTTTGCTCTTAGAAAAACAAATTAACCTGATAAAATGGGTTCCTTTATTTCCACTTCGTCCAGAGTTCCATCTCTTCATCAATGCCTTGCTTCAGGGATGGGGTGCATATTCCAACAGTCAGAAATTCCAGGGCCTATGCATTGACAAAAAGTTTTAGTCTTTCTTGTTCTTCAAAAGGCAATGCATCATGGTCTGGGCTTATTAACTGTCTCAACAAGGGGGGGTCGGTCAATTTGACCGAGTCATGTCACCTTTTGTACTTGTTTAAAGTCTTTATAGATTTAATACTTATAACTCTCAATATAGTGTGTATATCTTCATAAAATTTGTCAGTCTTTCAGTTAATATTAAAAGTCTTTCACATACAAAAACTCATTTTTCTTAGTGAAGTATTTTTAATAAAATAAAGATTTGTCCATGAATATTTTGAGTATTTGTTTTGAATAGTCTATGTGCAAAGTAATTTTCATGTTAAAATTAAAAATACTTTTCCTCATCGTCAAAAATCTCAAATTTCTTTTGTATAATCCCTAAAACCTCCTAAATGCATTTTTTTTTTCAGTAAAACTTTATTGTTTATCTGTTATTTTCTCTACAGTATCACAAAACGGGATCGGTCAATTCGACAGATCTTGTAACCACCAAAAAAAATCGAAATAAACCTAAATTACCCGTTTTTTCTTTATAGAATGACTTCAAATTGTAACATGAAACTATATTCGTTTATTCTAAGTATCTCTAAGTTCGTAACATTATACATATATATATAATTAAATTTTATTGTTTTATTACCCTTTGAACCATGTCTAACTGCTATCCATGACATTATAAGTTGTAAATCACTTGGGGAATGTGCAACTCACGTTATGCTATCGAATTACATTACCCATGAGCTCCTCACATGAACCATTTAAATTATATTATTATTATTACTCATTCTACCTAATCTAGTCTTAAATTGTTGATCTGTAGAGTGTAGTGTAAGCTCTCTATGTATTCTTATTATGTGATTAAGGACTGAATGAATATTAAATCCGTAATAACATAAAAGGTCCTCCTTCCTCAGACAGTAAGTTGGATGCATATTTATGTCATATAATTAAACTTATTTAATATACTTTTAAATAATATTAGGCTAATGTCAGTCTTTAGGTACTAGAGTCTAGGTTTTTCATACTTGTTATATGCTTTAAGCTGTTCTATGAATAATGTACCATTTACCTGGTCTCTTAGGTAATTTCTATGAAATTTTCTGTTTCTTTCCATTTATTCTGTTTCCTAATAGATTTTTTATTTAATTAAATTTATTTCAGAGAGGAATTTAACTATGATAACACAGATGTTGATGGAACAGAGCCACTGGATCAACATTATCTTAAACTGAGGGCAGCAAGTATTCTTGACAAGAAGACATCTGTGGAATGAATTCCACATGCTCAACAAAAAATCCTGTCAAGTAAAGGCACCAATGATTCAGAAAAAATATAGTAAATTATTATTTCAAATCAAATCACTAAATTTGTAAATACTTCAGAAATAGTGTACCATGAATCAAAGAGTATCTCATCCATTTTTTAAGATATCTTATATTACACACAAATACCTAAATTTTGCTTATAATTTCCCAAAATTTCTATGTTAGAACTGATAAGGTAGAAATGAAACATGCATGCAAGAACCAGTGAACCATTTATTAATTAAAAAACAAGATATCTATCATAGTCTATTGTTTGACAGTTTTTAAAACTATAATCTATTGTTATTGTTAACATCATCAAAGAAACAATTATTATCATATTGCATTACATCAGCTCTTACTTTATCATGTAGTACAAATTGCAGGTTTTTTGTGCACCTGTACACTTAAGAACAGAGTGTATAAGCAACTAACCTATATATATATACTTTCTAATATATTAAATATATTTTAAAAATCTGTTTCTTCACAAATCTATTAAGTATTATTGAAACAGTACAAGTACCTATAATTCTGAATATATTGTATCATAGGAAATTGTAGAGAACAAAAATTTCATTTGGCTCCATGTTAGACTGCAAAGTTTTATCATATGGAAATTTGAAACATGGATGAGGATTTATTCAATACAATAAATATTATACTGGACACTTCAAGTATTTGTAGATCTGAAGAGATATGGATACATTAAAGTTGATACATTTATGTGTGTGTTTGTTTTATGGTAAAACTATAATGTATAAAGTGTAATTCATTTATCACCTACCTTATTTTTATGTCATTTCGAAGGTAGAAATCCCACAAGCTTCACAGATGGACCTGGTATTAATGTTTTTGTTATCTTCCTGTTTTTATTTTTCAGTAGCTTTTAAAATGAAACATGGATATCAAAACCTCCAACATTCTCAAGTGATCATAGTATGGATTAGTGTCAGTCAGTAAGTTTCATTTTATAATGTGGTACCTTCAAATTGTAACTATTCCAGGATTCAGTTATCCTTCAGAGCAAAAATTTGTTTTTGTTTCACCTTGTGGCTATGAATTGATGGGAATTTTATAAAAAAAGTGTTGTTTTGTAGTATACAGCTTCTACTATAGTATGTCGTTTACTGTAACCAAGCTCTACTGTCAGTACATTATACATTATTAAATTAACTGCTCTAGGATGTTTTTTTTGTCTTGTTTCACTTATTTACTTACTTCAGTTTTCACTATTCAGAGTGAAACCTAATATGGCCTAAAGATGTATGTTTCTTATACCTTGAGGGTAAATATAAGTATGTCTTTTGACATGTACATAGTATAGAACATTTTTGAGAAATTCATGTTTTATTATCTGAATCAAATAGTTTGAAAACCCGTCATTTTGATCTTTGTGATCCTATTAGTTTTTAATTCTACAGTATTATAATCATATGTGTAGATAAGCTTAAAAGATATCGTTTTATTGTTATTAAAAATGGTATGTACTGATGAAAACGTAAAGGCTGAAATAGCCCATGGAAATATAGAGTGTTTATTAACCCACAAGCTTTCCAACTTTTTAAACAGCTCTTTATCAGGTAAAATCACAGCACTAATTGAAAAAATATTTGAAAAACACTGAAATCAATCATTTGGGGACACTGCCAAGATCATATACTCATATTATAGTTTTCTCACACAATTGATTTTCAGTATTCTATTTCCTGTGGAAACAGTCATGAAACCCAATCCTGTCTGGAAACTCCTTCTATATCATTTAATTAGTTTTACAAGTTTTAGTTATTCTTGTGTCAAAGCTAAAGTTTTTACTATTTTATATAGTCCAGTAGCAGTCCTTGCAATGTAGTTAATTAACACATCTCCGAGACAACAGTACAAACATTGCTATAGAACATTTTTCTGACCTTTGTAAGTTGTATATTTGGTATGGGGTGTTTTCATGTTCACAATATTGAGGATTTATGTATTTTTCCCAACAGGAAAGATGGTAGTGAATTTCAGTGACATACTGGAGAGGGTGAACAATCTGTTACAGCCTTCTAGATACAATGTGTGAATCTTGAAAGTTTGTATCATGCACCTATTTATTGGAGAAGACACAACTTGTCTTTTTTGTCTTCTGGTTTCAAGCACCATGTGTATGGTGTGAAAGTACTTGCTGATGTATTTGGACATTTTCAATATTGATTCAAAGTTTGTGTTTCATGTTTTTACTGCTTTTCTCTTCTTCAAATTACCTGTTGCTACCTCATTTAACATACCATTATGAAATATACTCCTGCTTGATCATCATCCTGGTTGACTTTATCATACAGAGTTTCATGTCTATATAAGCCCCTCCATTTTGGAGTAGTTTATTTCAAATGCTCTCATAAATCAGTTGGGGAGCTACTTACACTATTCATGATTTTTACCTGACCTTTCTATCTCTGGCACAGATTTGAAAGCTGTTTTAATAATGTAAAAACTTTTAAATAATATGATATGTATGATGAAATAAAACTAACACATATAACTTACACTAATAAAACACGAGGTAATAATAGATCCAAAAATATATTCATAGATAACTAAATATTTAGTTAGCAAGTATCACACTGTGGTATGATTTAGGCAACATTTGTCAATTTATGGGTAATTGGCATTGATATATATTCATATGTGGGAGCAGTATTTATTTAAAATAAAAATTTGCATCAAGATAGGCCTTAAAAGAATTCTTTGCCCCCAAACTTCTGTTCAGACCTTTCAACCACCCTCCTGTGATATCATAAACTGAGACTTGCAAATTTTTATTTTTATAATGGCCATCTTGGATTTTGCCACCTAGCTGTTTCTGCCTATGCTTTTGAGAGGTGTATTTAAGCCCATTTTTTTTTAGAACCCTAAACCATAAAAACTTCTATAAAACCTTTGTTTCTATGAATTTGTTTCAGAACTCTGGTTTTGTTTTTACTAAAGTCTTTAACCAATTATACCATAGAGTACACTTTATGCCACTGTATACAGTACAGTTTATATATAAATGTATATCTTCAACTTAAGCGTTTAATGATTATTTTTATCAGGCTCGTGGAAAATGCATTAATGCATTATGTTTTCATATAAACCAACTCCTCAATTTTTGTTATGAATTATCTTAATAATGTTGTTAACTCTTGGTCACAGTTTTGAATAATTTATTAAATACCAAATAAATACTAACTATAGTAAGACATGGAAGTGATAAAAGAAATATTTTTCAAAATGTTTTGTCAAGATACCCCAGCTGTCCACTTTATAAGGACCTACATACCCTTACAGACTTGGGCTTGACTCGAGTTACAAATTCAATTTAGTTTGATCACATGGTGTATCAGGTGATCCCTGCAGTACTATAAATGACTCACTTGAACAGATGTGAGGATATTGTAGTGTTCAAAACAGACATGATAATGGATGCACATCTAGCAGGTGCTACAATAGCGAAGACAGATTCAATGGTACGCTGTTCCAAGACATAGATCATTTGAGTTTATAACGATATCAAAAGGTGAATCAAATGTCTGCTGCAAGGGTGAGTTATAGCCATAAACACTTAATGACAGAAAGAGGAGAAAGGCAGTTAGACAAGGTGGTAAAATCTGACTCTCATCAAACAGTAGACCAACTGACAGACTTTCAACCTAGGGCAATTCACATCTATCTTCAGCTTTACCTTGTGAAAAATTTTGCAACAGATGAACTATGGAAGTAGGAGACCATTATATAAATCACCGATCTTAGTTATCAACTAGAAAAAAAGTTTGAGTGGTGTAAGAAGCACAGACTTTGGACAAATGAGGTCTAGTACAAAGTGTTATGGTCTGACAAGTCATACTTTACTCTTTATTTTCACAGATGGAAGAAGACAGGTATGGAGAAAGCCACGTAAATCACACAACTCCTCTTGTCTGATCGCAACTGTCCAGACCTCTGAAGCTGGAGTCTTGGTCTGTAGTATGTTTAGTAAAATTAATGCCACAGCTTACCTCAACATTAATTCTGATCACATGAGTCCAGCGATGCTTCATGCATACCCTAATGGGGACAGCTACTTCCTAGGTGTCAGTGTTCCCATCCACCATACCCAAATTGTACATGCATGGTTTAAGGAACATGATGGAGACTTCAGGCAACTCCCATGTCCTTTGCAGTCTTCAGATCACAATGCAATCTGGTATTGAACTTGAAAGACACATTCATGATCACAAGTCTATGCCTACCTTGCTCACGAATTTTATGCAACATTAATGACTGAATGGGAAAAGATCCCTCAGGACACATTCCATCACTTTGTTGACTCTATGTCATGTTGTATCATGGCTATTATTTGGGTAAAAGGTACCAAAACCCATTATCAGATGTAGTTTCTAATAAAGTGGCCATAGCTGGACCAGTGCATATATAATTTCATGATTAAAATAGACTGATATTTCCTTTCTTGTGTAATTTCTGGACTGGTTCTTTTGGACATATTAATTTTAGGTATTCTATTTAACATATTAAAAAGGTTTTATAGAAATAATGGTTAGTTCCATCAATAATATTACTAATAATATGGTAAAAACGTAGCTAACATTTCTGATATAACAATTCAAAAATTTCTAAAACAGCAACTTTTTCGTCTACTACCTACCTACCTAGATGGCTCAGATTATCGCTACAAGATTTCTCTAGTGTACTTGACTGGTCCATGGGTATCTGCTTTTGATATTCTGATAATTATATACAGATTTTTTATAAATGGTAAACATATCATGCACGTATGTAAATATATTTTCAACCCAACAGATGGCGCTGCATATCAATGGATAGACATGCTACAGTTTCTAAAGGTAAAGTATGTATTTTATACAGGTATAACAAAAGAAGTAAACAAAAACGAGTATTAAAAAACATGAATTTTAAAAGGAAGTAGGGATCCTGCTACAAAAAGGAATGAAACAAGAATTAAAACCACAATCACAAATTTGTAAAAGTTAATCCCTCTATTGGCAGCTTTATACACTTATCTATAGGCCAAAGTAAGGATTACATTTTAAAATTTGTGATTGTGGTCTTAATTCTTGTAAAAGTTATAGCTATCAAGGATATGGCTATATTGAAAGTTTATAGATGTTGTGTCCATTTTATGGACATATAAAAACTGAACAAATAGATAGGGAAAAAAATTAATTTTAATGGAAAATAGGGATTGTTGGTTATTCATAGAATTGCTATAAGAAGTATCCAAAACAAAATAAATGCTGCAATAAAAATTACACATACAAGTCATGTTGTGCAAGTAAACCCTAAAGGTTTTAGTATCTTATAGTAAAACAATTTTGAATATGCAAATCAGCAAGCTATGTGACAACCATGTTCAAAATAAAGTCATGGCAGAATTGCATGCATCATAACTATATTTTAACATTGTTTTGTAGGCAATGTGATGCCAAAACGTTATTGGTTTGGGGAAGAATGTGTTACAGTCCTTTCCAGCACATAATATTCATACACTCAAATCGTAAAGATGTGTTCAGATATGAGATTTAGGATTTTCAAGATAAGAATATCCCTAGTATGTAATGGCACTGGAAAACAATGGAAGATGGTTCAATCTGGGGCAACCAGGCCATTCAGTAAGTCATCTGCAACAAAGTTGCATCCCAGTCCCAATGAGCAAGGCATAGCATCTTGTAACAGATGAAAATCCACGA